CATAAGGCAGTGGTTTTAATGCCGACATGAAGGCAGAAGATATAAACTTGGGCTTCTATGACACAGCGAGCTGCATAATTTTGGAAGCCTCAAAAGTGCACCTCGTTTGTGATAAGAGGACGATGACAATATCCACCTACAAGTTCAGGGAAGTGGAAGGAAGCTTGTAGCCTATCAGGGCCTTAGAGGGATGGGGAGTGGAGGGGGCCAAAGTGCCAATCATAAGAAATGGAAACACAAGGACAACATTCATGTGTTCAGGAAACCCTAAGCCAATAAATTAGCATAAAGTACCTATCAGAGACCGCTGAAACCCCAAAAGCTCCACAGAAACAAATGCAGAACCACTCCACAGGAACATTTTCATAACCTAAGAGCTCCCACAAGAAAAAAAGTCCCGCTGAAGATAAGCTCACACAAACACAAAAATGCAAACCACACAAGGAAATAATTCACCATGAGGAGAGAGTCCCCAGACATTACTTAGGGTTCTAAGCGATGAAGATGATAGGACAACTTTAAAAGATTAAGTTTAAAATTAAAAGGCGAATGGCAAGAAATCTTAATGATAAAACAAATGCTATAAGAAAGAGAGCAGAGGTTTTACACACAAAAAATACAGTTATTAAAATAACTGTATTCATGGTAAATGAAGTCCAACTGAAGAGATTTAGTGAGCTGGAAGATAGGTTTGAAGAAATCACCCAGAATTCAGCCCAAAATATTAAGAAGGGTTAAGGGTTGTAGAGTAAAGAATAACAAAGTCTAACATACGTTGACTAGGAATTTTAGATGAAAAGAATAGGGACAATGGGGGAGACGCAACATATGGAGAGAAGTCCTTGGCAATATATTAGTCAAAAGTCCTTGGATTAAAAAAGGACACTAATTCCTGAGTAAAAAAAAATTATATATATATATACACAAACACACACACACCCCTAGACGCATCACAGCAAAACTTCAAAATATCAAAGAATATCTGAAAAGCAACCAGAAAGAAAGGACAAATGACAATCAAACTGATAACAGATTTCTTCTTAGCAACAGCAGATGCTAAAAGGCAATGGAATAGCCTCAAAATATTGAGAAAAAAATATCCATCAGTTTAGAATTCTATGCCCAAATTTCCCTTAAATTCTCATTCAAGAGAAAGGCATGATAAAGATATTTAAAAGGAAATAAAGGCTCAGAAGGTTTACCATTTACATGTATGTACCCACTGAACTGAAGTAAGGATGCACCTCAGTAAGAGGGAAACTGAACCCAAAATGAGATGAAAGAAGCAACAATGAGTGAAGATTTTTTTTTTTTTTTTTTGTGAGACAGAGTCTCACTGTGTTGTCCGGGCTAGAGTGCCGTGGCGTCATCCTAGCTCACAGCAACCTCAAACTCCTGGGCTCAAGCGATCCTTCTGCCTCAGCCTCCCGAGCAGCTGGGACTACAAGCATGCGCCACCATGCCCGGCTGATTTTTTCTATGTATTTTTAGTTGTCTGATTAATTTCTTTCTGTTTTTAGTAGAGACGGGGTCTCCCTCATGCTCAGGCTGGTCTCGAACTCCTGAGCTTAAACAATCCGCCCGCCTCGGCCTCCCAGAGAGCTAGGATTACAGGCGTGAGCCACCGCACCCGGCCGAGTGAAGATATTTTTAAACATGTTTGGACCAGTGCAATGGCTCACACCTCTAATCCTAGCTCTTTGGGAGGCTAAAGTGGGAGGATTGCTCAAGGCGAGGAGGTCCTTGAGACTAGCCTGGGCAACATAGTGAGACTCCATCTCTAACAATAAAAAAGTTTAACAATTAACTGGTCGTGGTAGCTCATGCTTGCAGTCTCAGCTACTTGGGAGGCTGAGACAGGAAGATCGCTTGAGCCCAGGATTCAAAGTTGAAGTGAGCTGTGATTGCACCACTGCACTCCAGCCTGGGCAACCAAGCAAGACCCCGTCTCTAAATAAATAAATAAAAATAAATATGTTGGCAAAAGGAAATGAATATTGACTATGTAATTTTCCAGACTAACTTGGGGAGCTTAATTTCGGTAGGTTTAAAAACAGGATGTGGGAGAGAAATATTAGAAAACAGCAACATGAAAAACATGGTGGAGAAATCAGAGTTAAAACATTCTAAATTTATTCTGTTGCTCAAAGTGATGAAACCATTGCCTTTAGACTTGCTGAGTTTTATGTTAAAAGTTAAGGGTAACCACTAAGATAACAGAGATAGAATGTGTAAACTTCTATCCAAACTTGCATAGAAGAAAGGGAAACAAAACTTGATCAATCTAATACAAGGGAGAAGAAAGGGGAAAAAGGAACAAAGAAAAATCATGGCAAATAGAAAATATTAGTTTAGGTGATTAAATATTGCAAAGATGAAAATGGGCTAAACTATACTGTTCAAACACAGAAATTCCCAGGTTGAATCTAAAAACAAAGCCAACTACATGCTTTTTTAAAAAGAGACATGTTTACTGACTTTTGCCACGGCAGACCAAACACACTATCCCCTCTTATTGTAAATTACTAGAAAATGGATACAATATAAGAAATAACTTGTTTTCAGACATTGGACACAGACTTGAGAGAGGGAAAAGGAAGGACGTGGGTTCTAACAACACCCCAGCTTTTTGCCTGAGGCACTTTCTGACTGTAGCGTGGGGCGGGAGAACCCCAGCACAGCACGGTGGTCTCACTGGGGTAAGGACAGGAGATTAGGGGCCTGGGTTGGGGAGAGGGGCTGAGGCAGCTGGAGTTTGCAGGGCAGAGTACGGGGAGTGGGGCAGAGAAAGGCAGAGGAAGACCTCCCCTCTGCAGGAAAGGAAAGGAGTAGATGTTGAAAGTCCCTGAGAAAGGAAGGTCCTATACTTTGGGATGAGAAATCCAAACAGGTTTGAGGGTGTCTGAGTGCAGAGGGTGGCTGGGCCCCCTTTTCTTGTCAGAGCCCAGGAAGACAGCAATAATCCAGAGGCGAAGAGGCAGTGTGTCTTGGCTGATGGGCCTGGAATAGCCTAAGTGAGTTCCCGACACCCCAAAATGACACAGAGCAGCAGCATGAACCCAGGGGCCCAACCAGGGCAAGGGCATCAGCTGACAGAGAGTTGGTGTGCGTGAGTGAGAGAAAGTGCCTCAGTCGCTGTGCCCTAGGTGCCTGGCCTGCCTCGCCTAATCCCAGCCCTGCGTGGGGAGGCTCGGAGATGCGACCTCACACGGAGAGGGCAGTGCAGGAGGACTGAGGCCCCCTTGCCGAGCTTCCAGCTGAAGGAGGCCAGATGCGTGACCCCAGTCAAGGTTTTGTGGAGCAGAATTACCCAGCCAACCCACAGATCATGAGAAGGCACAAACCATTGTGTTTGAGGCCATGAAATCTGGGATGGTTTGTTAAGCAGCGGTAGATAACTGAGTCAGGGAGCTTCACAAAACCCCTCCAAAGTCAGATGTAACTCAAGGGCAGTGAGAGAAAGCCTGAATTGAACATGTTTCTGCCATTTGATAGACCAGGGACTTGTACTATCCATTAAATTCAATTATATTGAAGTGGAAGATTGGAAAATTCCACTAAAGTGGAATTCTTAGAAATTTCACTACCAGGCTTTTTTTTCCTTGCGATCCTTACCTGGGCCCCCTCCTCACCTGCGACCTTGCCCTCATAAATCACCTGTAGCCTGTAGCAATTAATATACCAGGCTGTAAAAATAGCTTAGGACCCTGCCCCACTAAAGTTAACCGTGTTGTGACTGTGCCCCTCCTCCTCTCCTGCCCTGTGACCTTTCCCCTCATAAATCACCTGTAGCAGTTAGTGTACCAGGCTGTAAAAATAGCTTAGGTCCCTGCCTCACTAAAGTTAACCCTGTTGTAGCCATGCCCCTCCTCCTTAAGCAGAGTGTATAAAAGACTGCAATGCTCTTTGTCTGGTGCTCAGAATTTGGGGAGAGCAAATTCCCCTCTGAGCCTTGCCGGCCGGCACATAAAACCTGTATTGCCAAAATCTGTGTGTGTGTCTCTCGGTCTATTCTTGGTCAGCCCTGCTGTAACAATATTAATAGAAAAAGAATTATTATGTTCCTTTTCTCTAACATCTGAGTATGTCTGAAATTCATGTCCTTTCTATGTACTACTTGAAAAGAAAAAATTAAAGTTGACCACTCATCACTATTTAAGTAGTGGGCATCCATTGTTCTGGGCTTCCCAGACCCCTAACTCCTTCTTTTGATAAGAGTACCCCATTTTTCCCTTGGGCAGACTACTCCTGCATTCTGTGCACATCTGGAGGTACTTCCAGGCAGTGCCCTCACATGTAGGGTGGACGTGGGCGCAGCACAGGCCAGCCAGACCTTCAGTCCCAGAACCCGAGGGCACAGGAACCGAAAGCCACTGGCTGTGTCACTGCAGTGGCCCAGGAGACTGCCCGAGGGCTCCTACTACGAAGATGGCTGCACTTTCTTGGGCTCCTCTCCTGCTCTGTGCCTTGGAGTCTCCCGGCAGTTTTCAAAAATGTGTCTTTCACTTTAGCCAGAACCGGTTTCTATTGTCTGTCATCAAAGAGCCCTGGCTGATACATGATACGGCCTGTTGGGGCAGAAACTCAGTGGTGTCCTTTATATTTTTCAGTGTGGAGGTCACATGGTCGGGCCATGTGTTGGCATGCGTGCCTGCAATTCTTGCCAAAAGAGTCACTTGAGTGAGGAGCGCTGATTTATCTGAATGGAAGTCTGTCAACAACCCTTTGGAGAAAAGCATACCTCCTGGTTCACCGCCTTGGGCCACATGCCTCCCCCTCTGCCTCCCAGAGTGGGTGGGGAACCTGCGGCCTCAGGGCCACATGCGGCCTTCTAGATCCTTGAGTGCGGCCTTTTGACTGAATCCAAACTTCACAGAACAAACCCCAACCCCGTGGGAGCCAAGCTCTCAGGTGAGGTGGACCTTGTGGTGGATGAGGCCTGGCCCCGCCCCCACCCAATGCAGGCCCACGAGAGAGCATCCCTGGGCACCATGTGTTACCGTTTCTGCAGGACAGTGACAAATTCGGTGAGCCGGTCACGTTCCACCTCAGCAGCCTGCCAGAGGGCCTTGATCTCTGTCATTTGTGTCTGCCAACCTTTTTGTTCTGGGGAATCTGAGAACCTGAGACCAGGGCAGAGGGCAGAGGTCATCTGAAGCCTGAAGACATACACTTACCCCTATGATGGTGGGAGGGGCTGAAAGGACATGCAGGGCTTCTTGGAGATAGCCAGCCCTTCTTCATCCTCCCCACTGGCTTCTTCTCAGCCCCCGTTTCTGGCCTGCTGAAGTCCCTAGCCCTCACTTAGCTGGCTCCAAAGCTGGACCCTACCAGGGCCAGAGTTGCATTGGTACCTCTGTCCAGCCAGTCCCTGTGGGGGCCTGAAATTAGTCTGGCTGCTATGGAAGCTGGCTCTGGGGGCGCTAGGGAGCCTGGGGATCTGTGTGGCCTCTGGGACCTGGCCGCCCTGTCCTGTGTCAGGTGTGCCCAGGCTCTGTGTCCCTGCCAGCCTGTCCCAGCCCTCCTACATCTTCTGGCCTGGCCCCCAAGCCCAGCCCACTTTCCTAGAGCCTGGTTAGCTTTGTGACTTGGTCAGTTTTCTCCAGCCCTGACCAAACCCCTCACTGATTCCTTCCTTACCACCGGGCCCACCCACCACCCCTTACCTGGGGCTGGGCCAGGATAGAAGGTAAGCTCTGCCCCCTCTCCAACCCCTATCTTGTCACCTGCAGGAGGGGACTGTAAGCTCCATCAGGGCAGGGCCGACGCATGATTGGGTTCAGGAAATACTTGTGTGTTGTGGAAGGAACAAGCCTGAGAACCAGCAGTCTGGGCAGCCGAGGAGCACGTCAGCTCCTGCATCCTTGTGTAGGGACCTTGAGGGCTCACCTTGTCCGTCCGCCTGCTCCCACTACTGTGACTAAAACCTCGAGAGACAGCCTGCTCATTCTCCTATGCTGTGACAAGGCCTCCCACCCTCAGGAGCATGGCATGTGCCCTGTGGCTCAGTATTAGCCCACTGTCCCCCAAGTGCCCCTGTGACCCCAGCTGATGAGGGGGGCAGCTGCAGAGCTGGCTTTGGTCCACGGTCCCTGTGCTACCAAATGTCAGGCCGAAGGGTCTCAAGTACTTTGGGGAGACAGCAGCCCAGAGAGAGAACTAATCTGCCTGGAGCCACACAGATGGGGGACTGGGGCCACTCAGGCCGTGCCTGAAACCTGAGCTGATTTGCCTGAGGGGTCGGGTGGGGATGCTGACAGCAGGAGCATGGCTCCAGTGGGCAGCGGGCAGGGGTGGGGACAGGGCTTGGAGGCAGGACAAAGTCACCCTTGTCTATGAGCTGGCAGTAAGAACAAAGGGGCCATTTAAGCCCTTTGGCTTCATTCTATCAACAAAGAGGGCCCAGAGGGCTGAGGAGATATCAGTGGTTTAAAGCGGGAACCCATATCCTGTGAAATTCTCCCCCTAGAGACTGGTTCTCAATGAGCAAGAGAAGGTGAGGGAAGGTGCTGGAAGCCGGGCCCAGGAAGATTCCTCACGTTAACTGGTAGCAGGAAGGAACACTGGACTGGGAGTCAGGAGCTGAGATTCTAGCTCTGAGCTGCTTGCCTATCACCTTGGACAAGACATTGACTTCGCTGAGCCTCCATGTCCTTACATAACCTGGGAAGAGTCCCTGGACCTTGCCTGGCCTCAGTTTCCTCTCTGTTTAATGGGATGGGAATACTGGCTGAGCAAGCAAGAACGAGAAGGACTGTGAGGGTCTGGGGGTCCTGGGTTCATACCTGGGTGAGGTCCCATGGGGACTGGGCAGGGAAGGCCTCGTGAGAGCAGATTCCACCAGCGTATGGCCCAGGCTGGTCACGGAGCTGTGTGAAGGCGGAAGGGGCCCATCACCATGGGAAGGCAGAGTGGGCCCCGCTGGGCCTCACGTCTGCATGTGAGGTAGACTGGAGGTCAGCAGGGATCTAGGGAGCCTGAGGGGTGGCCAGTGCTGGCCCTTGCAGCACCCCTGGCTGGGCAGCCCTGTGGATCTGCTGCCCTTCTTTCCAGAACTCTTGCTTGCTCAAAATGAGACAGAACCAGAAGACATCGGAGTCTTGAACGATCCAATACAGGTCTATTCGAGGGTCCTAGGAGCAGATGTGTTTTGAGGCCAGCTCAGAGAGGCTATCACAGGGAGCTGCAACCAGCATGCTCTTGAAGTAATAAAACCTGGGCCCAATTGGCTCATTCCTGCAGATGCAGAGCTAATGTAATCGGAGAGGCCCACGTATTGGAAGAACAGCAGCATAATCATCTTAAAATTGCGCCCGTGGCTTCCCATCAGAGGCAGCAGGAAACAACCTTTCTTCTGAATAATTAATATTCACCTTGCAACCCCCACCCCATTTTTTTCTTACCGAGAAGATCCAAGCCTGCCGACGTGACTGCCTGCCGAGGCCGGGGACTTGGTCAGGCCCGGGTCCTCCAGGAATTTGGAGTAGGCGGGGCCGACCTCGGGACCACGGGACCCCTCACCCGCTCCTTTATTCCGAAGATACTGTAGGGAACAGATGTTGGTTCGATTCTCAGGGCTTTGGCTCAGAGGCATGGAGAAGGCAGGAGGGGGCCTTGGCTTGATTTCGAGGCTTTCAGAGGATATGAAAGAGGCTTCTTTTCAGGAGTGAAAAGCGAGGCCTGTTTGGGGAAGGCACTGCTTGCATGATAATGACATCTAATAATGCCTCTCTTCAGAAAGGGAACTGCATGGCGAGAAGACGGTGATGGGGCCCAGGAAGCTGTTCTACATTTGGGTTCCAGAGGGAGATGCGTGGCCCCGTGTGCAGTGCAGGTCAGAGACTGACGTCTCCGAGTGGGCCCACTTCTCTGGGCAGCCCTACCCACGTGTGGATGAATTCCAGGTGTGACTTGAGGCCAGCTGCCTGCGTCAGCTGGAACACCTGGACCTTCCAGACACCCGGAGCCAGAGAGGTTGGCAGGGCCTCAGCAAGGGCTGGCAGCCTTGGGAGGAGGCTGGGCCTCCCAGGCCCCTTCCTCTTCTGGACACCTGGTGGGCTGGGCTGAAGAAGGAGCATTAGAGGACCTTCAGCAGGAGGTCAGGCCACCACCAAGGAGGGGACAGTTCGTGTGAGCCCCTAACAACCTGGCATGTCCTCCAGCCCCACCCATTCTGAGAAAACTTGCAATGTGTGCCAACTTGTCTGTTGGGTAATGCTTGGCCACCAACCAGCTGGTGACCTCTGAGGTAGGAACAGTCTTCTCTTGTGTGCCTGGAGCAAGGACAGCAGTGAGATGAAAATGCTGGAATGTTCCTGTGTGCCCCTTCAGACTTCCCTTCTGCATGAGCTGGGGTGGGGAGCAGGGTAAGGACTACAAGGCAACATCCCACTCACTGCCACGCATACTCTGTTCCCAGGCCTTCCTCACGCCCCAAGGCTCTCCTCAGTCAGTCCCATGGTCCCAGGCTGCCCTGGCCTCTGCGGATGGAGGCTGCTAGGGCCGAGGGGCTCTTGGGCTCACGCCTCTGACCGGACCACGGATCCATGGTAATGAAGGGCAGGGCTGCTCTGTGACATGCCTTTGGCTGGACCAGTCAACCTCTCAGTGTGCCAGAGGCTGTGAGGCTCCTTTGCAAGAGAGAGACCTGTGTGCCTGTCAAGGATTCCTTCTCCCCAGAGGCCACCATCTTCCTCCCCCAGCACCAGCACCGCCACAGGTAGCCCCAAGCTGTGCCCTCAGGGCACCCGCCGAGACAAAGTATCTTTAGGAGCTCACTCATTAGACAAGCATTTATTGCATATCTACTGTGTGCTTGGTCTAGTGCCAGGCGCTGAGGCACCATAGTCTGGCCCCCTCAGGGGAGTTAAGGGGAGAAAACAAGCAAATAACCAACCAGGGTGGGAGAAGTTTGGCTTGTGGATGCATGGGGTGTTAAGAGGGTACCCAGGAGGGGCTTCCCAGGGAGCCCATGACTAGGTAAGACCTGAGGCCAAGGGACAGCTGGCCAGAGAGAGGCAGCGGGGAGGAAGGGGAAGGGGAAGGAAGGGTGAGGCATGTGCACAGCGCTGGAGTGAGGAGCAAGCAGGCCCATATGCGGCCGGAGGGAGAGGAAAGCGATGAGTGAAGAGAAGATGCAGGAGAGGTGGCAGCAGAACTAGTCCCATGGTACCCTGCAAGCTGAGTGTAGAAGAGTGCCTTTTTTTCTCCCATTCTGCTGCCTGGAATGTGAATGCAATGGCTGGAGCTAGAGCCACCATCTTGGCTCACGAGGATGAGTGCCGTAGCTGAGGATGCGAGAGGGTGAGCTGGAAGGAGCCCACATCCTTGAGGACTGGATGAGGCTAAGGGTGACAGGAAGCCATGGACAGATTTAAGCAGAGCAAGGACACAATCAGGTTTGTGTTTTAAAAAGGAAAGATGTGTACAGAATGGGCTGGGAAGCCAGATAGAAGCCGGTGGCCAAAGTGGAACCAGGAAGGATGTGGTGTGGCCTGAGTGAAGGCAGGTGGAAAGCAGTGGAAGGAGCTGAGATTTCTCTGGATGCTGGATGGACTTGCTGAGCCTTGGAAATGGATTCTGGGGCTGGGCCAGCGCCCTACTCACCTGCACACTGAGTTGCCCGATCTCCAACTCCAGCTGCCGCACCTTGGCCTCGCGCTCAGCCACCATGGCCCGCAGCTGGGCAACGAGGCTGCTGCTCTGCTGAGCTTCGCTGTGGCGCTGCTGGTCCAGGTGGTGCTGGGACGCTCGCGCCTTTTCCTCCTGCAGGCCCAGGCTGCCCAGAATCTCCTGCAGCTGCTTCAGTTGGTCCTGGGGGCCAAGCAGGGGGGCAGGTGGGGCAGGGAAGGACAAGAGCAGACTGCCTCTCCCACCCCAAAGCACACAGGAATCTAATGGTGACTGTTTCCTTGAGAAGCAGGAACACCTCCCTTGCCTGCCCTCACCGGGGGTCAAACCAGGAGGTGGGAACCATGCCCTTATCTTGTCCTCAGCTTCCTTCTCTCTGAGTTTGGGGCTGAGAAGGACACCCAAGTGGCTCTCAGGGACAACAGATAGCAGCTCACATGGTGGCTCCTCAGCCGGTGGGGGAGATATTTGAGGAAAAAGAAAGCCTGATCCTACTTTGCTGGGAGACAGTACCTGGACCCCTTGCCAGGGATCCTTGAGCACCTGGTCCAGGCCCCATCCCCTGGAAATACCCCCAGGGAGACTCCCAGGGCAGAGGCTTCCTGTCTGGGGCCAGCAGAAAGAACAGTGTCAGTGATTTGGAACAGGTGGGGCTGTTGTCCTCACCTCCTACGGAGGAAACTGAGGCCCAGAGAGCATATTGCTGATGAATAGCAGGGCCAAGCCTGGTTTGCAGCTCTCATCATGCCACCTTCTGACAAAGACGGTGGCATGCAGGGACTCAGAGGACATCCAGCCCTGTACCTTATTTTGAAAACTGGCTGCTGAGGCTCAGCGAGGGGATGCACCTGGCCTAGCATCACACAGTGAGGTGCTGACAGAGGCAGGCCTAGATCGCAGGTCTGTGCCCCACCCACCACCCCGCCGTGTGACATGATTACGGACAAAGGCGAGTGCCTGGGCCAGCACCCCACGAACGCTCCAGCCAAGCCAGGCATGGTCACCTCTGGGGCCAAACTCTGGGCCGCCTCAGGTCCCAGAGAGAAAAGCCTGGGCTGTAGGGTCAGGAAGGCAGTGCAGCCCTGCTAATCCAGGAAGGTTTTATAGTCAGATGAACCTGATTTGAACTCAGCTGTGTGATCTCAGATGAGTTACCTAACAATTTGAGTCTTACTTTCCCCATCTGTGAAATGGGATTATAATATATGTCCCTAGGAGCTGTGTTGGGGACTAGCCATTATAAAGCGCCCAGAGAGGAGGGCCTCATGCCATCACAGAGGCAAGAACTTGCACTGACTCCCTCAGTTGTCCCTCCCAGTCCTTGCTCAAAAATAACCCAGAGTGTAATCCCATCTCCTCCCCCTCATATGTCTCTTTCTCCTTCGGGATCCATGGGCCGAGGGGCTCATGCCCCACACTGCCAACATCACAGCCCCCTATGTGCCTTCTGAGCAGTTCCTGTCCCTGGGGCGGGGGCGGGGCTTTGGTGCTGGGGCCCATCCGGTTGTGCCGGTGGCATTGTGGGGTGAGTGGGGGCTCACTCTGCTGGGGCTGGGGCCCATCCTTTGGGGGCCGGGGCCTGGCTGCTGCCCTGCCCGAGTGGCGGGGCCGTACCATGAGGGCGTCAATGAGCTCGTCGTCATGCCTGCCCTTCTCCACCAGGGTCCCCAGCTGACTCCTGAGGGTCTTCACCTCACTGGACAGCACCTTGTTGCGAGACCTCATGCCCTCGAACTTCTTTTTTAGTTCTTCAAGCTCCCTCTGGAGGGCGTCCCGCTCACCAGCAAGTTTCTGGAATTAGAAAGTGAGGGCGTGGCAACAGGGCTGAGTGGGACCTGGCCACGTCTGGTCCCTCGCTCCCACTCACTGGAGAGGTCCGGGAGGATGGGGGCACTTGTTGAAGGCCACAGTGCAAGCCAGCAGAGCCGGGCCAGCCCTGAATCCCAGCCCAGGCCTCTCAGGGATGTCACGAGGCCCACAGCCTCTGGCCCCGGCCCTAGCACATGACAGACAGCACTCCTCCCCTCAGCCTGAGACACATGCGAGAAAACCCACGTTCCCAACGTGGCCAGCTCTGGGTGTGTCCTCCAGAGAGCACAGCTGGCCCCCAGCTGGGGAAAAGAGAGAAGCCACACTTGAGTGAAGTGTTCTAAGCCTAGAGGTCAAACTGCAGCACCTCACCCCACCACGGGCCAGAACAAGGGAGGTCCCACCCGCCACTCCATCCTCTCACTTCCTCCACAATCGTCCGACACGATCCCCAGACTGCACCTTGCTTTGTCAGCTACAAACCGGAAACTCATGTGCAGCACCCCTCTTTGGAGTCTCTCATTCATTCATCCCTCCATTCCCAAATGTTTCCTGAGGGCCTACTATGTGCTTAGTTTACTGCAGATGCTGGGAATCCAGCAGAGAACAAAACAGAGCCCTCGTCCCCAAAAAGCTGCCATCCTAGTGGGGAGACAGATAATGTCAAATCATGACAAATGCCAATTGAGAAGTGGGGGGAGGGAATAGGGAGACAGGGCACGGTCAGGGAAGGCCTCTCTGAAAAGGTCGCATCTGGGCAGAGACTGAAGGAGACGAGGGGAAGAGCGAAGCCTGGGCTGGAACAGCGTGGCTGGAGCTCAGAGAGTGAGGGGCAGAGGCCAGATTAGCCAAACTCTTAGAGCCAAGGTGAAGACACTGAGGAGGGTCCTGGGCCATGGGTGACATAATCTGACTTGATCCTGAGGGTCAATTATTGCTAGAAAAGTGTTTTCAGATCCTTGATGAAGTGAATCACAGAAATGCAAAATTAGTAAGACACGAGGCATCTACAGCACACAGCCCTTTGCACGGAGGCAGCCATTGTTCACTTGCTGCTCTCCTGCCTACGCGCTCCAGGCTCTAGCGGGCGCCTGGCAAGGAAATGCACACGGGAAATTGTTTCCTTCTACCTACCATTACAGCTAACATCAGCCCAACCCTTCCAACATATTCTGTTCTGTGGAAATGTGTAAGTCCAAGCTAGGTGCATTTCAAACCCAACACTTCCGAATCTCAACCCCTTTCTCCCCTTGGACCCACTCCTTATCTCCCCTACCCACCCTCTCTACTCCCCAGGAGTCCTTCCCAATTCTTCCTACTCCTCTCCCTTCCATGTGCAGTCAGTCACCGAGCCCTATAAAGTCTACCTTCAACATCCCAGGTGTCCGGCCCCCCACTACAGTCCTGTCTTGGTGAGGTCCCTGGTCATGTCTGTTTTACTGTTCTGCCCCCAGGCCTCTTCCAACCCATTCCCCTTCTTCCTCCAACCATGCGACCTTTCCAGAATGCACGGCTGACCATGTCCCTCCACAACTCAAAACCCTTCAGTGGTTCTCCACAGCCTTCAAGATACACCCCACAGCCCTGGCTGGCACACAGGTCTAGTAGGCCCTGGCGCTGCCCACCTCTCCAGTCTCACTGTCCCCCCGAAGGTCTAGAACGCTGGGAGGTACAATGTGGTGATGGTCGCAGCGTTCCTAGCACAAGGCCTCACCTGAGGTGGCACTCACAAATGGAAGTCTCCCTGTGAAAGGGTAAGGCCTACTGTTAAGTAGCCCACTGTCGGGGCCACTGAAGCCGGCCTGCTGTTGGGTTTGCCAGCACCTCCTCCTGCTTCTGCTACTTCCTTTGAGGTAGTCCCCACTCCCACTCTCAGTGCAAGTTTGGCGGGGCTAACTCATCCCCCAAACCTTGGGGCAGGTGTCTGAAGCTTGGCCAATCACAGCACTCTGTACCCTTAGCCACAGTGATTGGCTCAGGGATGGCCACATGACCTGAACTAGACCAAAGACACCCAATTCTGGGACTTTGTTGGAATTACTGGGAAAGAGAAGCCCTTTGCCTGTGGAGGCTGGGTTGGAGGATAGACCTGGGACTACGGGGGCCCTGTGGGAGATAGTAAAGCCAACGCAGGGGAAAGTGGAGCTGAGATCAAGTCCCCCCAAATCCCTGGATCCATCTGCACCTGAAGCTGAGCCACCTCTGGACTGTTCATTTCCATGCGCCAATAAATGCCCTTTGTTGCTTAAACCTGGTGGCGTCAGAGTTCTGACACTCCCAGGCCAACCTGCCCACTCCATCAGCCAGGAACTGTCTTCCTTCCAGCCCATCCAACCCCATCGTAGCTCCGGCCATGACCCTCCCCCTTTCCCTTTTACACTGGAAGTTTCAGGTACAGCATCTCCAAAACAGCCAGGAAGGGGCCACCCAATGTTCATTGCATGGGCTCGGGGTGAGGCTCCAGCCAGACAGCTCGAACTGGATTGAAAGGAAGTGAGGGACATGCACAGAGGCGACCCAAGGCCCCAGGTGTCTCCTGCCTAGAAGGGATGGCTCAGACTTCTGGTCACATGTGCCTCAGAGCCCTGCAGGTGCAGTCATGCTCTCCCAGCCTCCGCGCCCAGCGTACCCGCTCCCTGGGCATGCATTACCTCCCAGCCTTCCTGCTTCTCTCTTTCCAGGCTGCGGATCCTCAGCAGGTTTTTCTCCTGGGCTGACAGCTTCCTTGGGTCTGGATGGACAGGCTCATCACTGGCCGTTCCTGCAGACTGGCTCCGGGTCTGGCCCAATTGCTTCTCAAGCTCTCGAATCTAAGGGCAGTAAAACTTGTTCCATAAGGGGTCTGCAGTCAAAGACTCTACCACTCGGAGGTGCAGTGGGAGACCCCACTGGGCTGAGGATTGAACCAGCATTCCACATGGTTGTGGTAGCCCCACACGAGGGGGACTGGGGTGGGAAGATCTGAATTGGCATCTTGAACAAAACAGCAGAAGACACCAGAGAGGTTTAGCTTAGAAAAAAGCCACTTCAAGGCAAATGAGAAAAATCACCGCATCTCTGAGGGGCTATTTGAGGCCGAGATGCGGACGTGTGGTCTGAGGAAGCTGAGAGGAACAGGACGGCAGGTCTCGGTACAAGGAAGACCTGTCGACCAGACAGACCGCTTAAGGCTGGGGGGGGGCTCCTCAGGAGGTGGTGGGCTACTTGCAGGATACTGCCGAGGGAAGGCAGGGTTTGGAAGCTGAGAGATTGGCTCAAAGCCTCACTGTGTGACTGAGCACAGGTTACTTAACTTCTCTGAATCTCAGTTTCCTCATCTGTAAAACGGGCCTAAGAGTACACCCTGCATAATATTATGAGAATTCAGTGTCCCGAGATTGCCCAAGCCTGGGAATCTTCCAAGATTCTTCTTGGAATGAAAAATCTTAGGGCTCACTCCAGACCAACAACTCAAAGCTGCAGGGGAAGGTCCTTGGAATATGAATTTTAAACAATTGCTACAGGTGATTTTTAGGATTAGGCAACTAAGAAATCCCAAGATGGTCCAGGTGAAGCCCCCAACACAGCCTGGCCACATGGGTCTCAGTAAGTGGCAGGTAGATGTCATCCCACAGAACAATGCCTTCATCACTCTGGGGCTTAAGCAGTTAACTCCTTGGGTCCTTCTTACCCTGGTTTCCATGTTGACTTGCCCAAGTGACAGAACAAAGTTGGTACACCTGAGCCGGAAAGGAAGCAAAATCCACCAGGATCACGGGCAAAGGACAGGATCATTGCCCTTTGGCAAGAGCATTGAAGGCACTTTTAGCGCCCTCGTGCGGCAAAGTGTGGTAATTCCATTTAAGTGTTAAAGAACAGTGTTACTTTTGATCATTTAATGTAAAACTTAATAACAATAATAACTGATTTGTTGAGTGCTTATTATGGCCAGGCACTATTCTGGGTGCTTTGCAAATGTTATTTCATTTAACTCCATTTTACAGGTGAAGGGACAGAGGCACAGAGAAACGAAGTGATTTGCCTGAGGTCACAGAGCTAGGAGACCAGCGGTCACATTCGAACTCAGATCTCTTGAACACCAAGGCCACACAATGATCATCAATTACAGTTTCTTGGAATTTTTTTTCCCCTTTATGTTGGCTTCAAGAATCCCACGGGAAACCCTGAGGATAAAAGCCACCCAGGAACCCTGGCCCTTGAAGTTCTGGGAATGAAGGTGATGTGTTTGGTGAATAGTGGAATGCACACACCTTCTCATGTGTTTCTCAGTTTGGAGGCAAAAGGGGAAAATAATCGCAGCTAACCTTTGTCCAGTGCTTCCTCCGTGCCAGACACCATACTGAGTGCTTTATAGATACTGACTCATGCAGTTTTCCCCACAGCCCTGTGGGGTGGGAACTGTTATTATCCCCCTTATACAGATGAGGAGTCTGAGGCACAGAGAGGAAGGAACTTGCTTGACGTCACAAGCTGGCGAGTGGAGAGCTGGGATTTGAATCTAAGCAGCCAGGCCTCGGAGGCCCTGCTCTTAGCCGCTTTTGGTATGCTCCCAGACATGCAAAAATAAAGACGGAGACAAGGCTAAGTTTTTGTTGGGCAGTTAAAACTTTCAAAAAACTACAAGCATCTGGACAAAACTGGAAAAAGCCTACAATTACAACAGTCACGCAAATTTACGGAAACTAGGGGAAAAATATGCCTGGAGTAAAATAAATCAAACCAAAGGCACTGGCATTTGTTAAGCTCCAGAGCCTGGCATGTGGTAAGTATTATATAAGTGCTTCTTCATTAAATAACAAATTGAAATCAGGCTGGCTGGGGAGAAGGTAAAAACAACAGCCCTGCAAGTGTGTTCTGCAGGACCTAAAGGTCTCTTTTGGGCTCTGTATGCTTAAGTCTCCGATGTGGGCAGTGCACGTCTTTCTGGGGCATTTTTGATTACTTTATTCAAGATCAGGAGAAGTCTGATGACGTACTCACCTTGCTCTGCAAAACAAGAATTTGTTGAGCCCGACCCCTCCAGGTCCCTGGCGAGGACAGGAGCTGCTGGACATTGATGTCTTCCCCAACCTCACTGGCCAAAACCTGAATAAAGCAGGGCCGTCAGTGCGGCCAGGAGAGAGGGCTCCGCCCCACTCCTAATGCTGTTGTGTATCCACAGGCAGCGCTGGGTGCGTGGGGTCCCCAGAGGGCTCAGCCTTCACCCACACAATCTTCCTCCTGCCTCAGGGCACAGCCCTCAAAGATCAGTTTACCACGTTCAGCTCTCCCTGGGAAAGTAGCAAACACAACATCCCCAATATTTCTTGGCAATGCTTAGAGCAGCCGAGAAACTGCCAGAAATGCCCAGATAGGGCCCCTTGCTCTTGATGTATTCTGGGATGAGCGAACCCCTACTCTGACCAACACCTCCTCACCTGTTCACTTGTCACCTAGAACTAAGATAATTCTGCATGGCCACAGGAAGTATGTTGCCACAGGGCCGTGCCCCTGTGAAAAGCCAGGAACAAGTGGTCGTCTGAGTGCAGCAAGAAGGAAGCTGCGGCATGTCAACTGGGGACGCTGCGGATCGAGAAGGGCCCGGCTTTGTGGCTGTGGAAATGCAGTATTCAGGCCGCACCCCAGGGCTCTGAGGCAGAAACAAGATACCCCAGCTTGTGACTTGGGCCCCTCTGAAGCCTGTCACAGAAACCTGATCCAGCATACCAAGTCTCTGGTGCTTGTTTCCACAATAGAACACTGTTTTGGAAATCTTGGCCAGTCTGAGTGGTTCCAGCAGGGAAGACAAATGCCAGAGAATTCACTATGTAAATAAAAATAAATAACATACCAGCTGGGCCTGTGTCCCAAGTCTGAGCATTTTCTTTCGAAAGGGGCCTTTAGCACACAACCTATTCATTTTCTAATGTTACAGACAGAAGAGAGCAGGAGACAGGTGTTGGCAGGCTTCCCAGTCAGAGGTGCCATAGTAAAGGGAGACCCAGGATCTACCGGGGCACAGGTGGTGCAGAGAAGGCTTATCCACCTCTCCCTAGGTGGATGGCGCTGTCCTCCTCAGCCCAGCGCCGGGCAGGCACCCTCAGGCAGCCAGCGACCCTGCTCACCAAATGGGTCTGTACCAAGGGCCGGGGGAAGGAAGTTACCAGATCTAGCGCCTGACCCAGAGCCAGCAGGATGTTCACAGGGCTGAGCATATGTTTGCTCTGCTCACTGAATGGGGCCCATTGTGCCAGCTGTGCTCTTCCCAGGCCCAGCCCCAGCCATGCAAGAAGCCCTGAGCCCTGGCTCTGAAAGACCTTCTGGGCCATCCGCAGCTCCTGCTTCACAGACTGGATCTGGTTGCGGAGGTCACTCATCTTTAGGTTGGTGGCCGCCAGCCTGTCCTGCAGGGCTTTCACCTCTGGGGTCTCCAGCTGGTTGGGAAGGACAGGAGAGAAAGCAGTCACTTGTTGTCTAAATAATAATCACAGCCCCCATTTATGCAAGTAAATGCCAGGCACTGTGCTAAGTGCTTGGTGTGGAGTAACTCATTTAACCCTCACAAACCTTTGTGACATGGGTTTATTGTCAGTCCCTTCTACATGCAAAATGGAGGCTGGTGGCACGTAAGTCCCTTCAGCTTGGGCTACCTGGTTAGTAAAGGTGGAGGATGGATTTGAATCCTAGCAGCTCAACTTCGGGGCCGAGCCCTTTGCTCAGAGTCTTGTGCGTGCACTTGCGATGCATGCTGCGGCCACAGAGGTGAAGCACCTCCCAGACACTTCCTGGGTGTGGGCTCTCTGCTGCGTCAGAGATCGGCATCATAGCTAATACATCTTCACTCAGAATAGAGAGGAAACTAGATCATTCACAGAAGGCAACCCTGGCTTGGCAGGAGGGCTACAGGACCACCCTAAATCAGGGCCTCCCTCTCTCGGAACTGTCAGCCTGAACCTGTCTCTGGCAGCTGAGGGGCCTTGGGTTCCCTTTCCTGGCAGTGCTCAATGAACAGAAATAAGGATCCAGTTTAATCCCCAAACACTCTGTCTCTGTGGCTTGAAGAATTGCAACAATGATGAAACTGCCTATTGAAACTCTTCGCGATGTCTTTTTAAAAAAATAATGTTTGATTTAAACTATCTGGATGCAAATTTTTCTTAAATGGGCTGACCATTTCTCTGTCTTCAGCAGACATTCCTGAGACTCCCAGAAGTCTGGCATTAAAGGGACCTGCAAAGTCAGCCCATTCAAACCCCTTCCATAGTGATGAAGATAAGGTCCAGAGAGGGGAAGTAACCTGCCTTGGGGTACACAGCAGGTGGCATAGGTGAGATTAGACCCTGGCCCCTCCCTTGCCCTGGCTGATTCCCCCAACTTAAGCTGCTGCTAACGCTGCTGCTAACCAAGGCAGCAGGAACGCTGGCTGGTGGGCTGGGCATCCCATCAGGCAATGATGCTGGCCCTGTGCTCCTGCCCAGCGGCCAAGTGGGCTGGACTTCCAGGACACAGGGCTGGGACTACAATGGCTTCCTTACCTTTCCTTAGCGTGCGCAAACAGAATTTCCTGTGAATGCTAGTGTGAGAGACAGATCCGAGCAGACTGTGTCTGGGAAGTTCCATGGACCCCAGAGGCTTTGGGCAGCCCAGCTGAAAACCACTGGTTAAAGAAACCAGACATGGACACGTGGCCCCGAAACCCTGGCCTCATCTAGTTGCCTCATCTACGGAATGGGTACAAAAATACTTCCCTGTCTTGCTTCCTCACGGCACCACCATCAGGCTAAAGAGAATAAAGTGTGAACAAAATTTGCAAACTAGGAACTTATGTGAAGCATAAGTACATCCTTTTATTAGCATATTTTTTTCTGTGTCCTTCCTCTTGTTTGCCATCCCTGTTCCCAATGGGGTCCCTGTCTTGTATCCTGCTAAATGTGTGGCTTTGGCTTTGCCCTGGGGTGGGAAGCAACACTCCCCAGCCTCTCAGATCTTCGGTGCCATGAGCTCCAGTGGTCCTAACAGCTCATTTACTCCCACAGCTGTCGACACCTCAGGTGGCAGTACACAAGCATCCCACGTGGCCGCCGTGACCCTGCAGCATCTCTTAGAGCTGCTTAGAGCGTGGAAAGAGCATTCGGATTTGATCTGGATCTAGAACCCAGGCAATGATGTCCTCCCCAAGCCTCATTTTCTCATCCGTAAAATGGGGGTATATAATGCCAACCTCCAGGGTACCTATGAGGGTTGACAGGACAATGCATGTAAACAGTGCTGTCTGGGGCAGGTTCTGGTGGAGGGAGATGCGCTGGGTGGGCAGGTGGCAAAGAGGTGGCAGCCAGATGGTGCTCTGGAGAGGCCTGGGCCGGGCTCCATCCTCCTGGCCTGGGCAGCAGGGCTCAGCAGACCTCCCAGCTGTTTCAGAGCTCTTTCTGCCCAGAGTGAAATTCCACAGGCTTTGTGGAGGACCTGGGTGTGGGCACACTCCTGTCACTCCCTCGGGCTATTTTCTTTGATGGAGCAACTGAAATGCAGCCCATGGGGAGCAGATAATGCCAATGCCCTCATTCCACAGCCTCCTAAAACCCCACGCGGCGGGGCGGGTTTCAGCTCCACTCCGGAATGTGCGTGCTTTGAAGGTCGGGGCCAGAATGGGTGCGGGGGCTGCAGGCCTCTGGAGTGTGGCTTGGGCTCGGGCCACCCTGAGCAGTCCAATGAAGGGGAGCATTGCTTTTGCTCTCGCTCTGGTCAGAAGATGCCATGTGGTGCCGATGAACTGAGACTTGGAGCCCGGCACACGCTCTTTTAGCAGAAACCTCCCAGGCTCCCTGTGGCCACAGAATAAAGTCAAAACTCCTGCTCCAGCTGCCATTTAAGGTCTCCCTCCGAGGGTGACCCCACCCCAGCTCTTTTCGGCTTGTATTCCCTTTTCCCCCCTCTGGGCTCTGGGCTGCCGCCAAATGTTATCCAGCTGCCACCTAGTTAAGCAAACCGAATTGGGACGTTTAGTGCTTCCTGGCCTCTGTGCCCGGGCTCGCACTGTTCCTCCTGGAAGGCCCTTCCCCAGCCTCCGCTCCAGAAAGACCCACCTCAAGGACACCTTCCTGCACCCTCTTGCCAGCTGCCGCAGGTGGAGGGTGTACTACCTTTGTGAACTCAGAGCCCTGCGGCTGTCTCTGAAGGCCCTGTCCATATCCTTCCTTCAAACGGCTACTTGTTCCCCGCCCTGGACTCCCTAAGGACAGAGCCCTTGTGTTTGATTCCCTGTGTCACAGGTCTCAGAAAATTCCATCAGGCTCAGCAAGTGACTAAACAAGCAGTTTCCCATGCAAGGTAGCTCTAGTTGGGGACATGGAGGTGCTCAACACACTGGAGAAACCAGGGGCAGCTTAGTGATGCCCCCCGGAGCCAAGAAAGGCCGTGAAGAACACTCGGTCCAGCCCCAGTGACGGGACAGGTTCACACAAGACTGGCCTTAAGGAGACACAGTCACCCCTGGAAACTCAGTGGCCCACGACCGCACACCGAGAACCGGACTCTCCTCAAGACAGGCAAGGGGTGCTCTGGTCCTGAGGCACAGGCAACGGGGAGTTGGGGCTGGAAGAGGAGCACTGAACTGGGAGTCCGGGGGCTTGGCTCCTTCTGTCACCAGCTGGCTTGGCTTAACAAGAAAACCCCTGGCAATGCCTCCTGGAATGTTCTTGAGACTTATGCTGTTTATTGTCTGGCCTGGGGACAAGCCAACAAGCCAACCCACTGCGTCAGACTGCCTTCCTTTCATGGAGCTGCAGTCCTGCCTCCCGGGTTTCATGGACTGCTCACTCCTTAGTAAAATGGGATCTGGGCCACGAGTCTCCATGGCCAATAGTCACTTTTACTCTGTGGGTTTGGAGCTCCTCACAGTGTGAACTGCCCCATAGGGAACAGGGCCCCCCTGGGCAGTAGCGAGGTCCCTGTCCCTGGGGGAGGGTGGAGGCTGGATGTCTCCCCAGTGAGGATGCTGTAAAGGAGATGGCTGGGCTGAGAGCAGGCCAGCTGGACCACGTCTTCCCTCCTGGTCCTGAAGTTCTAGGGTTCTGGGGTTCTCAGGCTCCTCCTAGTTTACCTCTCTGGGGACCGAATCAGAGCCAGACCCTCCCTGGCCTCCACTAGGGCATTCCTGGGCTCAGGCCACAGACTCGGTACCGTTCCCTGTTCTGAGGGGGCTGCGACCGTAGACAACAGGCCCCTGACTCAGCAATGGGGTGGGGATGGACCCCGAGCAGAGGTACCTATACTCCTGCGGAGGGGAGGCCCCGGCCAAGTCTGCCTCCCAGACTTCCCAGCACGGAAGAGAATTCATACCGAGGCTCTGTCTCCCATCTGGACCCTTGGTGGCTTGGCTCCCGTGTCGGTGGCCCCCTTGGCTGGCAGCCTGGCCAGGGATGTCTGCAGCTGAAAAAGCAAACCTTGCACTTAATATTTAATTCTGCTCAGCAATTGACCAGCGCAAGGGAAGTGCTCTGGTGCTGTTGGGTGTGTGGTTACCTGTCATGGTGGTTTGTCCTTGCAGTTTACTTTAGCATCAGTAATGGAAAAATTTTCCTTTATAAACTGCTCTGGGATGGGAGAGAGTTTAATTGATTGTCTTCCCCACTCCCCAAACGCACTGTGAGAGCAGCCCAAGGATTCACTAACAGCTTAATAAATAATAATGCTGCAGCCATCATCTGTCTCCTGGAGTTCTAATAACAGCCCAGGAGGTGGAGAATAAAGGAACTACAGATTTCAGACGAAGAGACAGGGTCAGAGACACTGAGAAGCCTGTTGGAAGGCAACAGAACTGGATCTGAAATCCAGCACCTCCACATACTGTGTGACTTGAGAAAGCTCCTTAGCCTTCCAGCCTCAGCTCGTCCAGCTATATAAGGAGAAGCTAGGTAGGTTCCCTCTTGTACGTGCTGGAGTCCCCTCGAGAGGAAGAATGACCAAGGCCCTCACTTCCCGCTCCAGCTCCTGGATGCGATTGGTCAGCTGCTTCATTTTGGTTTTCGCACCCTCTGACTCTGCCATCAGCACCCGGTTCTTTTTGGACAGCTCGACAATTTTGGTGGCAACCATATCGCCAGCCATACCAGCTGTCCCTAAAATGAAAGAAACAGTGAGGTCAGTTGAAAACCCAGGCCTGCACATCAAACTCATGCCACACTACCAATAGCACTGGGTTTTACAAGCTAGAGCTGCTTGGTGTGGACACTCACGAAGGGGCAGAGGCTCAGGAGGGTCACCATACACCTAGAAGCCCTGGGACCCAACTCTGATGAGTGGAAATGCAGTCACTTAGAAGTTCAAGTATGTTCTAAGAAAATTATAAAACCAGAAAGCAGAGTTTTGATTCTGCGGGAAGCTGGTTTAATGCTCCAATGCTTTATGCCATCCCCAGGGGTAGGGTTACACATCCACATCCTATTCCCTCCAATTTTGCTGTGCCCTCCAGTGAGTAGGGTGTAGTCCCCTCAATCCTTCGATGCCTGCCTGACTCTGGGCTCAGCCATGTGACTTGCTTTGGCCAATGGCATGCTAAGAGATAAGGTACAGGTAGAGGCTTGAAAAGCACCTGTGCAGTTCAACTCCTTGTGTCTGCTTATGCCCTTTCCACAGAAGAACACATCCAGGTCAGCCAGCTGCTCTCAAGAAGAAGAAGAGCTATACGGTGGAACAAAGCTGAACCACCCTAGCCAAGCCTGGCCCAGATCAGCCAATCCCAACCACCCCCCGGACACTTAAGCGAAATAAACGCTTACTGAAGAATGCTGCCGAGATCATGGGTTGTTTCTTGTAGAGAATTCTGTGGTAACAGCGAACCAATACTAATGCACACATTCATTTAGCAAATATTTACTGAGATTCTCCCAAGAGCCGGACCTCTCGGTGTTAGGGATGCAGTGGTGAGTAAAAAAGACTCATGGAGTTTACATTCTAGTAGTGGAGACAGATAATAAAAAACCAAAGAACTCAATGTGTATTATAACTTCTGTGAGGAATAAGTGCCAGGAAATAAACGGAAGCTGGGCAAGGGGATGAGAGTGATGGCAGAGACGCTACTTCATAATAGATGCGGTGGTCGGGAAAGGCCTCCCCGGGGAGGCAATGTGTGAACAGAAGACTGAATGAATGAAGCGAGGGTTCAAGCCACGAACAAGAGTGTTCTCAACCAGGAAGAGTGTTCTAGGCGGAGGTTGGAATGTGCTTGGAGTATTGAGGAACATCAAGGGAAGGAGGCTGTGGGAGGGGCGGCTGGAGGGCTGGGAATGGGGGAAGTCGCATGGGGTGGGGCGTACCCAAGGCAGGCAGTGGAGCTAGCCCAGCGTGGCCACTGACTAGCCGGGTGACCTTGGCAGTCCTCTGCCCTCTCAGGAGTGTATCTCCCATCTGTGCACTGGCAGACTTGGTCAGATGGTCTGCAAGTTCCCTGAATGCTTCTGACACTCCTGCAGTGAGTAACCTGCAGTCCTGCTTTTTAGCCTTACTTTTTTTTTTTTTTGGAGACAGAGTCTTACTCTGTCACCCTGGCTAGAATGCAGTGGCATCATCATAGCTCACAGCAACCTCTAACTCCTGGGCTCAAGCGATCCTCCTGCCTCAGCCTCCTGAGTAGCTGGGACTACAGGCACATGCCACCACATCCGGCTAATTTTCACTATTTTTCTTGTTGTGATGGAGTCCTGCTCTTGCTTAGGCTGGTCCCAAACTGCTGGCCTCAAGCAATCCTCCTGCCTCAGCCTCCCAAAGTTCTAGGATTACCCAGCCTCTAGCCCTACATTTTTTTTTTTTTTTTTGAGACAGAGTCTCACTCTGTTGCCCAGGCTAGAGTGCTGTGGTGTCAGCCTAGCTCACAGCAACTTCAAACTGCTGGGCTCAAGTGATCCTTCTGCCTCAGCCTCCCGAGTAGCTGGGACTACAGGCACGCGCCACCATGCCTGGCTAATTTTTTCTATATATTTTTAGTTGTCTGATTAATTTCTTTCTATTTTTAGTAGAGACGGGGTCTCGCTCTTGCTCAGGCTGGTTTCGAACTCCTGAGCTCAAACAATCCGCCCGCCTCAGCCTCCCAGAGTGCTAGGATTACAGGCGTGAGCCACCACGCCCAGCCTCTAGCCCTACTTTTTAACATGACTATGACATGCCTCAGAACAAGATGGAGGGTGACAACTGGTAGCAAGCAAACAGAGGCACTTGATGATTTTTCAATCACCTCAGCCCAGGCTTGCTCCTGCTGGCCTGGGCAAGGCAGTGAGTAGGGCAACTAGGAGTAGCAGCCCTGGGAGCCTCATGTCTGCTGCAGAGGACAAGGACGCCCGAGAGAAAGGGTTCGGAACAGACTGGCAGCCTGGGAGCATCTAGAGGAGGCACCATTCAGCACCAAGATGGCACACTTGGCTGCTTGAATAGGCTACGTGGGAGGAAATTAAGGGATATTAATTAAGGGATATTAAGGGATCACTGGGAAAATCATCAATGCTAGCAGTCAAAGAAACACAATTTCAGCAGAGGTTCTGGTTAAGACGGAGTAAACACCCTCCACCCTATCTCTCTCACTGAGTGCAACCTAAAACCCTGGACAGGATGTGCAGAGCAGCCGTCTGAGGGTGCTGAAAGTCAATGTTAGCAAGTATAGCGGGGAAGGAAACCAGATCTAGTACAAATGGGCCAGTGGTGCATTTCCTGGATTAGGATTTCCTCCCAGGACTCAGAAGCAGCACAGATTCTCAAAGCAGCCATCAGAAAGAGATCCAAGAGAAGGCCTCTCTGGTCCAAAAAGCAGGAAGGGCGTCCCAGAATGGGGGACATCCTCTTTTTTTTTTCCTATTCTCTCCCAGCCCTGTCTCCAGGCAAGCCCCACTCTTGAAGCTGCAGCCCTGTGGTGAGTGGAGGCAGCAGTGAAGGGGCAGGCACAGAAATGCAAAATATCTGGATACCTATCATGGACTATTTTTGCCTCTTTAAGTTCTTTAAAATATGTAGAATGGTTGAAAGCAAAAATTATAACATCATCTTATGGAATTTTCAATAAATAGATGTAATGCACATAAAAACTGCAATATAAGGGGGAGGGTAAAGGGTGGTGGAGTTTCTACATTCCACTTCACATAGACTGTGAAAAGGTCTGTATTTTGTAATCACTAAAAAACTGTATGAAGAAATACAGTAAACAAATAAAAAACTAGAGCAATCACTAAAAATCCAGCCAAAGAAAACCAATCCATCAGTGTGAGTAGCCTGTCACTTGTGGCACGGTTTAAAAACATAAATGGGTCAGTCAGACTTTTCTCCGCAAACGTGAGGTTGGAAATCAGAAACGGTGGCTTCAGAGTGAGGACTGGGTTTAAGCAGTTTTCAGGGAGAGTGAGAGTTGGCAGTCAGATGAGGCCATGAACAAGTCTGTAAATTGGCAGAGAGTGAGAGAGAGAGAACAACAGGCGAGGCTGGGAGGAGGGAATAGCCCCAGGTCCGTCTCCCAGGTCTGCGGGGTGGAGATGTATCTCCTGCTCCCCCTGGAGCCCATCAGCTTCTCTACAGCTTACAAACGTGCAAGCTGCCCAACTTTCACAGCCTCAGCCTGAGCCAGGCTGAGTGTGTCTTTTCCTCACAACACAAAGCCTTGTCTTCAGTGTGGTTTTTGTTTTAGAAAAGGCCAAGGAATGGAGGGAGGTGCATTAGGCCACCAAGAGCCTTTAGGATACCAAATTCCCCGTGCTTTTTAATTCAGCACTGACTGAGCGGAGCTTTGGTCCTATGGGTATACCTGCCCTCAAAAGCATTTACTCTCACGGACAGACACACTGGCAGATGCTGGGTCAGCCCTGTTGCTCTCTGTGGTTGATGACATCTACTTTTTGGTTTATTAGCCACCTGGAAATTGCTCAACTGGTGTACACGTAGCAGAGCACAATCAGGGCCAAGCTCCCCACCAGATCCACAGGGCCAAGTCAAACTCATAACCACAGAGCCAATGTTCAGCTCGTACCTGCAGGGCTAAGGTCATTGTCCAGCTCATACCCACAGGGCCGAGGTCATCCCTAGGCTCATAAAACCAAGGTCCTCACCAGACTCATGGGGTCAAGGTCTCCACCAACAGAGCCAATGTAGAGCCTAAGCCCTGCTGAGAATGGTTGAGTCCCAGGAAATCCTCCTAGAACAGGCAACTTCCCTGTTTCCTCTACCCTTCTGGAGCAGCAACCGCAGGTGCTGTAGAGTTAACATCTGCCTCTACTGGGGCTTTTTTAATGTCTAGGATAACATCTGAGCCAAAGCACCAAGAGGAAATGGATCCTGCCAGGCCACTGAACATGCTGCAAGCATGATGAAGAACCCTTGTCATGAGTCCCAGTTGGGTCACCGACATTGCCTGTGATGCTTGTCTGCTGCCTCTACTGTCCTTGCTGATCCTTGTGCTCCCATTTCCTGGTGTGCTGGCCTCCCTAGGCCTGCTCTCTTTCTCTCCCTTCTCCCTCACTGCCAGGATTCACCTGGACAAGCTTGACCACAAGTGACCCTTGGCATTCTCTTGGGCACCTGCCCTCTGGAACCTGCTGTTTGCCCTGCCTGAAGTCCCTGGACTGCAAGGCCAGGACTGTCACAACAATGGTGGAGCTACCTGTGAAGGCAAATCTGTCCTCTTCTATTTTCTTTTTGAGGTGTTTGATTTCAAAATCCCTTTCCTTCAGCAGCTTATACAGCCTCCCATTTTCATCGACTGTTTCCCTGAGCTCATCTCGAAGCTGTTCAATCTCATCTTCAAGCACCCTACAAGGCAAAGGTGGAATTACTGCTCCTTCACAGGGCCAGGTGGGCAGGGGTCAAGCTTCCACTGCCCAGCTTTGCTGTACCTGGGTTGGGCACTAGGTGGTGATAAGAACTGGTTTGTACAAAAAAGGAAAGAGAAATTAAGGGAACAGATGAGCAGATTTTAACACACTGTTCTCAGAACCGAGGGATTAAGCACATAAACGTGCGAGTGTAAAAGGAGAAAGAAAGTTTGAATAACATTGTTTATTAGCTGGCTTCAACAGAAGGCTACATAAAACCCCCACACAGAGAATTCATACTACTTTCAAGTATCTGTGGAATATGCATAAAAATGTATTTATTAGAGGGTACAAAGACAATGTTAGCAAACTGCAAATAATGATATTATACAGACCATATTTTCTAATGGGAATTGACTAATATTAGGAATCAATAATTTAAAAATAGCAAAAAATAAAATAAATAAAACTCAACCCCATTATATGTTTGGAACTAAAAAAACATACACTCCTAAATTATTAATGGGTTAGGAATAAATTATAATGTGCATTATAAAGCATTTAGAATTGATTGATCACAGAAGTTATATCGAAACTTGTGAAATGCAACTATAATTAAGGCTATAAATTTCCTTCTATCCCTTTAGCTGCATTTTACAAATTTTGTTATAGTTTCTGTGGGGTATGTGTGCGTGTGTCTGTATTAAAAGACCAAATAAGAATTTTCTAAGCCTTAAGTTGAGGCTAGCTCTCTAGGTTTCAGGTAAATCTGACAAAAAATTAGAACAGGTAGTTGATTTTATATATTACAAGTTGTCTTGGGAGGCTCTTTTCAGAACTTTAAGACATGACTGATGGGTCTGTGATCACTTCTATGTTAGGCATAGAACAGGCTCCCTGGAGACAACTGCTTGGGAAGTAAATAAGTTATAGGTAACAGTAATTATTATTGTTGTTGTTATAATTATTTCACCAATGGTTTAAGTCTCTACCAATTTCAGTTTCTCTGATTTGGGGATAGGACGTTTGGAAACAGGTCTGGGATAACTTAGAGCTAATATTTAGGAGTCACATAAATTTTTTCAATTATTGAGAAATCTTTTTTTCCAATTAGCATTTTAAGTAGAACATGTTGAAAACTGAGAAATCATAAAAAGTAGAATTTGAAGATGGAGAAAATAGATTCTGGGCAAAATCAAAAGCAAAGAGACCGTTTGAAACATGTTGTGATTTTTTTTTTTTTTTTTTTTAGCAAAATGACTAGTAGAAGATTTTGTTTCAATACAGACTCCTGCTTCTAAAAACCAGCATAAATCCATATGTATCTGTGTAACATTGTTGAATTCAGAATGAAGTGAGAAGATTCTGGACGCCTTTCAACTTTTCCACAAACTGTAAAAAATCCACCAAGAGCTTCTTTAGGACAGAGTATGTTTATGTGTTGTTATACGTCAGGAAAGGGAAATTGGCATAGGAGAAGGACCCCAGATGAGATTTGGAGCAATGATCATCTAATGATCATCTACTGATTTGGAGCCAACCAGATTGGAAACTCAAACACAGTTTTCATGAAAGAGAGACTGCAAAAGAAAATTCAAGCAAATAAACTATACCTTGATGAGTTTAAATTTTTCAGTTTGACTTTAAATCATTTTTAAAAACATATCAAATTATGTCCATAGGAACACAGATCTATCAGATGCAAGAGTCTTCAATAACTTTTGTGTAAAAACTCCTTTCAGTTTATAAACCCACATCTAGTCAACCCATGTCTGCAATCATTTCTCCCCATCCTTCTCTACCTCCCTGCAATTGCTCCTAGGAGAGTTCACATTTGAATTTACCTCTGCTCAAAGCTGTTTTTTGAGTTTTGCTCCCCTGTCTGTAGAAGGCTGAGGCCATCTGAGACCTCCAAAGGCTCTTTTTCGTCATCAACTTTGCTTTTGAGGCTCAGTTCCTTTTCCTTTTTTCTTTCCATCCGCTTCTGCAACCTTTTGTGCTGCATCTCCTGCATCGCCTTGAACTGGAGCCGCAAAGTGTCCTGTGAGCCTTCATCAGCTGCCATCTTGCCCTAGGAGTCAGAAAAGCAGCCTGAGCTACAGTAAACTCCACACAGAGTGCTCAGCAGTCAGTCCTGTCTGCAGCCCCCACCCCCGGAGTTTACTGCTTAGCTTTGCATTGTGTCCATGCAGAAACTCAGAAGCCCCACACTCACGTCAAATCATTTGAAAGCCAAAGCTGAGCTGAGCATCCTCCCCCAGCCCTGAGTATGCCACTAAACTGCATGTGGCATCAGACTAGTCTCCATCACTCAGACTCAACACTTGATCCTTGCCTGTCCCTTAAATCAGTGACTCTCAACTGTGGCTGAACCTAGAACCCCCTAGGAACTCCTACAATATAATAATGCCTGGGCCCACCCCCAGACCAACTAAATCCCACTTCCTAGGAATGAGGCTTGGACATCATTACTTCTTTTTCTGTTTAAATTGAGGTACAATTGACATGCAGTAAAGTGCATAAATCCTGAGCATACAGCTCAATGAATATTCCCACAGATACACACCCCTGTGGTGACCACCCAGATCAAGGTATAGGGCACTTCCAGTCCCCGAGCAGGCTACTTTGTACCTCCTCCAGGAAATTATCCCCAAGGTGACCATTATTCTGACCTCTGCCATTGAAAATGAGTTTTGTCTGTTTTCTTTTTAATCAGCTCTATTGAAGTATAATTTATGTGCAATAAAATATACTCTATGTGTACAAATGAGTTTGGACAAATATATTCACCTGTGTAAACCACCACAACATCATGAAATAACATTTTCATCACCCCAAAAAGCTCCTTTTCACCCCTTTTGCAGTCAGTCTCCCTGTCAGTCCCAATGCTAGGCAAACTCTGGTCTGTTTATGTTCACTACAGTTTTGCCTTTTCTAGAATTTCATATAACTGGAATCGTATAGTAGTTAGTCTTTTGCATCTGGCTTTTTTGCTCAGCACTTCCTTTTTGAGATTCACCCATATTGTTGCGTGTATCATTAGTTCATTCCCTTTCATTGCCGGGGAATATTACATCATATAGATAAACCACGGTTTGCTTATCCATTCACCTGCTACTGGACACCTGAGCTGTTTCCAGTTTGGGCTATTATGAATATAGTCATTATGAACATGCATGTATGAGAAAGTATTTGTGTGAATGTACATTTTATTTCTCTTGGGTAAATACCTAGAAGTGAAAATGCTGGGTTATATGGTAAATTTATGTTTAACTTTGTAAGAAATTGTTAAACCAATTTCCAGAGTGGCTGTTCCATTTTATATTCCCACCAATGTATGAGAGTCTCAGTTGCTCCATCCTTGTCAACACTTAGTATGGTCAATCTAAATCATAGTCTTTCTCATTGGTATATAATAGTATCTCAATGTGTGCGTGTTTGTTGTTGTTGTTTTTTTTTTTTGAAACAGGGTTGTGCTCTGTCATCCAGGCTAGAGTACAATGGTGCAACCATAGCTCACAGCAACCTCACATTCCTGGGCTCAGGCAATCCTCCTGCCTCAGCCTCCTGAGTAGCTGGGACTACAGGCACACATCACCATGCCAGGCTAATTTTTAATTTTTTGTAGAGACGAGTCTCACTATGTTGCCCAGGCTAGTCTCAAACCTGGCCTCAAGCAATCCTCCCACCTTGGCCTCCCAAAGTGCTGGGATTACAAGCATTCACCACCATAGCCCACCTCAATGTGGTTTTAATTTGCATTTCTCTGCTGACTAGTTATGTTGAGCATCTTTTCATGTGCTTACTGGCCATTTGTATATCTTCTTTTGTGATGTGTCTATTCATATTTTTGCCCATTTTTAATTGTATTGTCTTATTACTAAGTGGTCAGAGTTCCTTACACATTCTTGATGTTTAGTCTGTTTGAATTTCACATAAATGGAACAATAGAGCACAGACACTGGAATTTTTAAATGCCTCCCACACGATTTCAAAGTATGGCCAGTATTAAGCATCCCTGCCTTAAACCAACCTCGAGCCATATCGTCTACCTAACATCCAATTAATCATAAATCTTGTCCCCAAATCTGTCCCCATACCTCCATTCCCACTGATGGTGCTCTCATTACCATGCTCACAACCACCTCAGGGCATTTGCACTTGCTGTTGCCTCTCCCTGGAATGTCTTCTCCCAGACATCCTCCTCACTCATTTCCTCTCAAATGTCACTTTATCAGAGGCCTTCCTCACACCCTACTGTAGAAAGCCATCCCTACCCTCACTCCCCACACCCTTTTCCTGCTTTATCTTCCTCTGTGGCATGCAGCGTCACCTGACATGTTACATATTTATCTGTTGACTTGTTGATTGCCTCTCTCCCTCCCCACCAGCTTCACAGTGGCAGGAACTGAGCATTGTTCACTGCTGTATCCTCAGTGCCTATAACACAGGGCCTGGGATGTCGTCGACATGAAACGAATACTTAGTGAACAAATGACGACGGTTCTGTCCCCAGGACTCATCAAATAGGCTCCTACTGCCCTCGCTGCCCCCACTCCTCCTCCTTACCCCATGTGCAGTCCAGCCTGCGTTCACTGAGGGACTAGTTTCCCTGAAGCACGGCTCTAGGCCCCTGTGCCGAAAGCTCCAGCAGATGCCCATTAGTCACAAAACCAAGTCCAATAGCATTAAAGGATTTGGGGGATTTGGCCTCAGCCTCTCCTTCCAGTCTGTTTTCTCTTTCACAATGCCCAGTTCTAGCTAATTTTGTCAACTTGCTCCTCTTTCCCTAAACCTCCCTCTCCCCCAAGACTTAAATCTTGCTGGTCCTCCCACGCCAGCATGAATACCATGGTCCTTTCTTGACCCCCCCAGGAGGAATACTCCCTCTGTACTTATCTCTACCTTGCCCACAGGGGTAGTCCCAGAGCCTGTACCCAGTGGCTATAAAATTGTCTCAATATTGAATCCCAAGGGATACAATCTAAAAATACTGATGCCCTGGCCCCACCCCTAGAGAATCCAATTTAGTTAGTCTGGAGGGGACACCAGGCATGGGGCTGTTTAAGTGCTGCCCAGGTGGTTCTAATGTGCTGTGGACTGAGCCATGGGTCAGGCAAAAGTCAAGCAAAAGCAGGAGCTGGTGTTAGGTTGAACTCCTTACCAGGTAGCTCTGCCCGATAAGAGAATCTGTAAAGAATTAACTCAGGAAGTCCAGGTTGCCCACACCCTGAACATTCCGAAGGAAGGTTTGGCACTTGACCTGCTCCTAAGTGATAACCTCTAAGCCCTTGGACTATTCCTCCTGATATGTTTGTCTTTCTTCACCCGGGGGCCTTGGACCCCCATATGTGGTAGCAACTTGACCTCTAGAGGGGCTGGAGATTGAATGACTAAGGTCAACCATGCCTATGTGACCATCTCCCAATTAAAACCCTGGACACCGAGGCTCGGGTGAGCTTCCCTGGCTGGTGATACGCAGTGCGTGTTGCCATGCACTCTTTCTGGGAGAAGTAAGCACTGTCCGCGTGACTCCACTGGGAGAGGACAACTGGAAGCTGTGCCTAGTGTCTCCTGGACCCTGCCCTATGAGCCCCTTCTTTGCTAATTTTGATCCATATTATTTCATTGTAATAAAGAGTAACTGTGAGTACAATGGCTGTTCTGAGTTCTCTGAGTTCTAGCAAGTCATTAAAACTGACAGCGGTCCTGGGGACTCTCACACTACAGGAACCCTGGACTCTTCTGCTGAAGGTGTAACAGCCACAGCCACCACAGGGTGTCCAAAAAGATGGGATACACAAGGATATAATGTGACTTAATTGGACTCCGTGTTTTAAATCTAGGCAGGAGTCAGCAAACCTTTTCTGTACAGGGCCAGACAGTACATATTTTAGGCTTTTGGGCCATATGAATTCTGTCATAACTACTACTCCACCGCTGTAGCAGAAAGTAGCCAGAGACATACGTAAAGGAGTGAGTGTGGCTGTGTTACTTTCTAACACTCATAACTTACATAAGTGTTATATATTTATTGGCTTATAACTTTTATAAGCCAATAAATGAAACTTTATTACCAAAACAAGCAGTGAGCTGTATTTGGACTGTTAGTGTGCCAACCCAATTTAGAGGAATTTCACTTGAAAACGTGTCTAGAGATTGAAGAAAACCCTATTGAGGCTATTATTTGAAAGTGTAACTAACATAGTTTTCAAATAAATTTATCCTGTGATTCCCTACTTTTTGTAGTTTATAAAAAGGACAACCACATTCTTCACTTTCTAAACTGGGTTACCTTGGAGAATGAAAGGAAGAGCTATTAATAACCATTCTGGGTCGACAGCGAGTCAGGAAAACAAACTGGAGGCTGTGACCAGCATGCAAAGCAGCAGTTCTCGCTGGATCTCCCAGTGGACCACAGGGATCACCTGGGGAGCTCTAAAGATACTGACACCCAAGCAGCATGCCCAGGGATCCTGATGTCATTGGTCAGGGCACAGCCTGGCATTGGATGCTGCTGGTCTGGGCTACCGCATGGGTGCCCCGGCCTGAGCCGACATAGCACCTGGGTCCCTTCTCTGCCAGCTGTGTGACTCTAAAAAGTTTCTAGACCTCTCTGGGCCTCAGTCCTTTCTTCAATAAGCAGAAGATGATGACATGGAGGCCACGGATATGCTGTGAATGCCAAATGCAAAGGGCAGTATGAAAATACTTTGTCATCTATGGATTGGTAGAAACAAAAAATTATTTTCTTCTTTCTTGTTGGTCTCTCTTGAGGACTCCCTCCTCCCTCTTCCTTGCTGTCCCTTACAGTGATGCTTGTGACCCACCAGCAAAAGCCTTCCTGGTTGTTGGGCCCACAGTGACCAAGCCCACAACACAGCTGCCTCTAGCCTCTGTACCTACTGCCTCTACATCACAAGGTCACCTGCTCTGCACCTCATTTCCTGTGTGCTCCAGAGGTGTTCTCCCAGTGCCTCTCCATCTTTCTAGCCACCCTAGCACGCTGGGTTCTGCCTTTGTCCCTCTAATCCCAATGACCATCTGAGACCTTTCAAAAACCAG